TGAATCTATAGATTGCTTTGGATAGTATGGACATTTTAATGATGTTGATTCTACCAATCCATGAACACAGTATGTTCTTCCATCTGTTCATGTCAATATATATATATATATATATATATATGCCTCATTCTTTCCTCCTCTTCAATAAAAAGCTTATGGATTAAATAAGTGCTAAAATAGAACTAGAAACATAAATTCATATTTTACTCTAATTTTAGTTAATAGTAGATTCCAGTATTTTTTTCATTGTCAGGGCAAGCCTAAACAAAGAACTGTCTCAAGTGTCTAACTAATGCAACTAGATATATAAAGGCTTGACAGTTGCCATTATTATGCTGTCAAATATTATCTTTAGCTGACATGGATTCTTATGCTACCAGTATTTGGATAACTGTTGAAACCTAATTCTAAGAGTATTTCTAAAGTTGAAAACATGTAAGAGTTAGGAAAAGAATTAACTTTAGAAGGCAACTGAGAAAACTTGCTTTGTCAGCTCTGCAAGATCACTGCTGACATCTGCTGGATGGAAAATTAAGAAAAAAATTAGCTTGAGAGAGCTGTTTTGATTGGCATGTGTTGCATTAAAAAAGGGTTTTCAGAACTGGCTATTAATTTCTTTTTGGCCATCCAATTAAACTTGAAACTCATTCTTTCATGATGTTATGATGACAGTTATGACAGACTATTTAATATTAACATTTCATTGAAAAATCTGAGCAATCCCTCTGTCAGTATATCTTAAAAATCTCCTGTATACTGAGTGTTGTGACATGATGGGAAATGAAATCTCACAGCTTCCAATATTAAGGTTATTTATTGTACCGGAAACTATATTAATTGCTTATGTATAATGTTTCACCTTTTCCTGTTATCAAGAATTCTGAAGGTTCTAAGATTTTGCTTTTCTTGCAAGCTAAGTTAGCCTGCCAGTTTTACAGATGTTGGTAGATTTACATGACATTTCTAGTCCAGTCAGAAAAGAACTGTTTATTACTCATAGTAATAGCATTAGCTAGGGTAGCTAGAGTAGTTGCATTGTTTTTACAATGTACCTCTAAGTCCCAATTCCCACACAGCTATGTGAAGAGTCCCAGAAAGCACTTACACATACTGTGGGTTGTGTTAGAGAAGAGGAGCACTATGAGTAGAACCCTGATCTATAATAATAAAAGCATAATATGCTAATTAGACTGGACAGCTGAACAACCTTCGGACGTCATTCTGGATGTCCTTCTGGACGAAGCCGCAGTGTCAACTTCTGGACGTCATTCTGGATGTCCTTCTGGACGAAGCCCCAGTGTCAGGGGCCAAGGCAGAGGCAGTTAGGGGTGATCAAGTAGGCAGGCGAGCAGTTATGGGCAATCAGGCAGGCAGGCAGAGTGGTTAGGGGTGATCAGGCAGGCAGGCAAGTGGTTACGGGTGATCAGGCAGGCAGGCGAGCAGTTAGGAGCCAGTGATCCCAGATTGCAAGAGGGTGCAGACCAGGCTGAGGGGACCCCTTCCCCTGTGTGCAAATTTCGTGCACCAGGTCTCTAGTCTATATAAAAGGCTAAGTGACCATCCGACTGTCCAACTGCCCAACCAACCAGTACCTATGACATGTACTGACCACCAGGAGGCAGACACTCAAAGCAGGAGCTGCTGAGTGGCAGTGTCTTGGCAGCAGCAGTTCTCAGGTGATGCAACCCAGAACCAGAGAGGAGGGAGCCCGATTCCTTGCGGGGCCGTGTGATTTCACCTTCAGCTGTGGGTTATGTTGTTCCTGGGGCACTGTTGGCCCCGAATCTAGTTTACTGCACACTTGCATTTGTGTTCCACACCCTGTACAACAGCAATTTTGTAGAGTGCCCTCTTGCACTCCAGGACCCCTCGTGGGATGTTGAAGAGCCAGTTTCCGCCCGATCCCCACAGGCCAGGCCAAGGGACCGCCACCTGCTAGAGGGACCCCGCTCACACTGCAGACATCCTTTAAGTTGCAGTGCCACCCCAGGTGCAGCCGGCCAGGGAGGGACCACGGGAGATTGGCTCCAGGGCATGTCCGGCCCATCTCGCCGAGTCCCGCCCCACCAGCCACCACCTGGGACTGCCTGCATTAGTCCCTGACCCCTGCACCGAAGCCAGCACCGAGATTCTGAAGAGCCAAGCATGAGTTTTCTTTCTTCACCCCACCCCCCCTCACTCTGCAAATGGCCTTGGAGCCGTGGTGCCACCCCAGGAATTCTAATTAATTTCCTTTCAATGTGCATGAATCCATGCACCGGGCCACTAGTGTTTCATAATAGGCAATAAGCATGACTGTCCTTTGTTACATAGGGGAATGTTATCTTCATTGCATTTGATGGTAGACATGTTTGTCCTCTGTTCTGGAGGGAAACACTATAACTATGTTCCAAGGCTGTTCTTTTCTACACAAAACATTCTTAAAAGGATAGTAAAAATAAAGGGAAGTAACTGCTTTCCTTAAATGATATAAAAAATGTGAGAGATCCTTGGAGAATTATCTCCCCACAATATCTGCCCCAGATTGCTACCCTCTTGACTTCTGTTGAGTTTCCCCAAAAGTATGCCACTCTGTTGGCCACTCTCATTAATCTGAACAACATGGGTTTGTTTCATATATTATTTATGCGACTGTCATTGTGAGGACTCTAAGCAGCAGGACAATCTGCAATATTGACCATTCCTCCCAGCTGGACCAAACTCGCCGAATGCTACAAATCATCAGGGTCTACCATAGAAATTTATATAATTTTCTTTTTAAATTTCTTCACTGACCTTTCTACTTGGTCCAAAACCTTAATCCAGGTGCAATAGGATTATCAGTGAACATACAGACTCTATATTGTACCAGAGGAAGAGTCTAGGGCAGCCGTGGGCAAACTATGGCCCGCGGGCTGGATCCGGCCCGTTTGAAATGAATAAAACTAAAAAAAAAAAAAGACCGTACCCTTTTTTGTAATGATGTTTACTTTGAATTTATATTAGTTCACACAAACACTCCATCCATGCTTTTGTTCCGGCCCTCCGGTCCAGTTTAAGAACCCATTGTGGCCCTCGAGTCAAAAAGTTTGCCCACCCCTGGTCTAGGG